CTTAGTTCTCAGAGGAGACTAAAAATAGTGATTTTAATTTATTCCTGCTGCCTACAATTACCCACAACCATGTATTTTTAAATATTTCCAGCCTATAAAAATTACTAATTTTTGCCACTTGTGTTTATCTGCATTTAGACTTTGATTTGGATAAATTAAGCTCTCGAGTGTTCCTGCTTTATGAAACTCTGCATGTTGTACACTTCAACACAAATAAATGACTTGTACCATTAAAGGTTTAAATAATGTAATGTATTTCATGCTCAGCCTGAAGCTGGATTCCAATGAAGTTGCTAATGCACGTAATGATTAAGTGTAACTCAAATACTAACTGTGTTGTTGAAAACATGACAGGCAATAATTTGGTCTATTATATTCTGCCATTTAATTGCCTAGTACAGACATTCTCTGACACGTTATGAAGCAATGATTTACAATTATTCAAGCTGCAAAGGTCAGAAAGTGACATTATAATCATCTACATAGAGATCCCTTCTAATGCACAAAAACTAGGTAATGCCACACATGCAAAAAAAAACACAGAGAGTTTTACTGCATTAGTAACTTTCTATTTAGGGTTTCTCAACCAGCTAAGAATGAACAGCTAGCTCATAAGCACATTAATTCACAACAGAAAATGTCTAGGATCTTTTCATGAACCCAGAGGTGACAGAATTTAAAAATGCCTTATTCTCCCCTGATTAGGTAAATTCTATCCAACCAGTTAACTCTGATGCACAAGATTCAACACTAGACACAGGAAAATCAATCAGAAAAAAACAGAATCCCTGAGGCATACATACCGGGGTCTTTGTGAGTGATAGCACCCAAAGTTAGGTGTATTTCCTAGGTTTACTGAATTCACTAGCTACTTGCTAACTTTCTACTAACTCTCTTTTATTTAGTAACTAGTAATGAAAAATAAAAACAGTAACTCAGGTTGGCCAATTTTACCCCTCTCATCCTAATGAAAAGATAATAAAGTCTTCACTTTTTTAGACACTTTGCTATATTATACCAACATGTTTAATTTTTAACCACTCAAGTGCAATAAATTATCAACACATAAAGAACTGGGGGGGATAAAAATCATAAAATTATTTAAAACAAGTTTAATATGAAGAAAGTGAGAGAGAGAGATACAAATAAGAGAGAATGAATAACAATATTAAAGTAAACCACTGTGCAAGCAATTTTTTAAAAGAACATAAATCTGAGCAAAAGCAGGAAACGAGAGTGACTGGGGGCTGGAGGGAGGTAAGCTACAGCTCTCACATGCTGGTGAAAACAACCTCGAGAGCAAAAGTAAGTGAAATGGAAACAGTAACCAAAACAACAGATACCACAAAAAGCAGACATAAGGAAAAGGGGGAGGTAAAGGAAGGAAACGGGTCTACCCTTACTACTGCATAACTGAAGTCCATCACTAAAAATACTTTTAATCTCAAGTTTACCATCTGTATAGTGGAGACAATAAACACGAGCTAAACAATCTTGTGAAACTATAAAGATCAACAAATAAAATAACTGTTACTTAATGTTACACTAAACCACAGCATTGCATAAATACTACTTATTAGAGTATTGTATGTACTAGTATATGTACACACAGAGAGACAGTATGAAGTACACTTACATGAACTTAACAAAACATGGTAATATAACGGCTTTTTTGAGCTGAGATTTTCAAATAATTGACTACTGAAAAAACAGTTAAAGATCATGGATTTAATAAAAATATGTGTTTAACCTGCTTTTAAACATGTGTCTCAAACAAAATTATTAACTTACGTATAGGAATGCTTTCCATTATTTGTTATTTTGTCCCCACTAAGCCCTCTGTCAGACCCATAGCCATTTTCGGGTTAACTGTCCATCAAGTATGTGTAAATACATCTACATTCTACAAAGTCCTCAAGTTCACACTCAGCTGTAAGGAAAATGTTACGAAACTGTAATATTAAAAAACGGCTCCTCCTGAAAGTGAAAGTAAAATAAAAGGCTTGGAGATGAAGTTCTCTATAACATGTTCTTAAAACAGGAGTGCAAAGCAACACATTTTTGAAATTTTTACCATGCCCCAAGCATGAAAACCAGGGGTAAAGAGAACTTAAATCCCAAGTTCTGATTAGACAGCAAAGACATTCAGCTTCTCTTGTCAAACTAACTTAAATCCATAATATAATACCGCTAAAATTTGCTGAGAGGGGGAAAAAGGTTATCTTAAAATTCAGCTTAAAGATTCAAAGAAAATCAGCATAGGTTGAAAAAACTGAAATAAAAGTTTAAAAGGCAGTTTTTGTTAAGAGAGTAGCTAATACACAACCTTAAACTAAGCCCTAGAAAAAAATGTCAGCTATATATTTGATGAGCATCTACAGTGGTCTAACAGAAAGACACATGAAAACATGAGAAAGAACTCAAACAATCACAGATAATGTGAAACATTAACATGAGCTCGAGTCAACAAAACACACTGTTGTTTCCATCAATTTCACCATAAAATATTAGGTGGCGGTTATGTCCAAGAAAACCAACAGGTTACCAAAATAAGGGGTGGGGGGAGGCACAATATTATAATAATTTCATTTTTAAAATCTGCCTGCCCCACTATTCTTATATATTTTTATGCAATCAAAACTATTTGAAAAACACTATTCCTTTCAATGCAGATAGTAAAGTTCTAAAAGACAGAGATGAAGACACTCACTACCCCAGAAAAGAAAACACAGTGCAGGACCTTCTGTTTGTGACAAAATTATAGAGTTAATGTTCCTGAAAGATCGCTTCACCTTTTAAAGCATGATTTTTTAAAAGGTAAAATTTATAGCAATTAAAGCTAATGAAGAAATGCAGCATGAGCTGCTTATGTTCAGGAACTAATAGGTCTGCTGAGCATCTCTAAGATTATTTAGCCATCAATGATAATGAATTGACACTGTCACTGATGTTAATGCACCAACCTGGTAGCCAATGCTTACATTTTTTTAATGCTTTTCACTTTAATGTTTAACCTACCTACAGCCCTATCCCTTTGAAACACATGAACAACCCAAGATACGTTTTTTTCCTAACATGGAAAAGTATCTAACTCACTATGTTCTATTTCAACAACATCAATCAATAGGCATTTTTAAGTTTACTGAAATTCTGTGAAAATATCTACCCAGTAAAAATTACTGTCATGTAACTTTTAAATCAAATTTCATTTCTAAAAAATTAAGGGGTCATTTCATGGTCAAATAAAATTCAATGACTACCATAATTCTAAGAGATACAATTTTGGAATCTGAATTGCTTTTCCTACCCACACACATATACGTAGACCTCTATGATAGCAGTTTAAAACTCAATATATCTACATGCATTTGCAATTCTTTATCTTGGGAATCAAATCTATAAACCACTATAGCAACATTGTGGTTGTATGTGGTAAGCACTGAGCTAAGCAAAGTGTGCATTGTTCAAATTACACAATCAAAGCCAATCAATCGTGTTGTTTCTGAAGCTACATGTGTCAGAAACTGTTCTCTGAAAACGTTTCTTCTTCCTTTTCCAGGGTCTTAGGAACCCTAGTAAAAATGAATGGAATTAGATTTCTAATAACAGAGTATGCAAAAAAAAAAAAAAAGTGTTTATTTGCAGAAATGAGGAAGAAACTGCGTATTGACATCTAATAGCAAAATTTTCGTTGGAGTCAGGGCCTTCCTCCTTCCTATAACTCAAATGGTAAAAACAATAAATGAGATATCTTTTTTAATTCTAAGACCTAGAGCAATTAAAATGAACCATTTGGCACTCGATCCTTGCAGCTAAAATCAGTAGCAACAGAACTCATTCTGCCACTGATCCTCAGGGAGCTTCAGGGCAAAGGCTCGCCTTCATTTACTTTAGCTGCAAGTCACTGAACCACCAATTCTGCCAATGAATAAGTCACAGAGCATGGTTAATAAAACTGCTTGCAAAGTTGTTTTTAAAACTATCTTAAGGGTCAAAAAATGCAATGGCATCATGAGATAAAGTGTACTGTCCAACATAAACCAGAAGGTGTTTTTGACTTAAAAGATATTTATATTTACACAGTAGTGCCAACAAGAGGGATCCTCCAGTAAAACTATAACCCTAACATAACATGAGCACAATGCATAATTTAACTGAACCTAAATTATTTTGTGAATTAGCCATAAAAATTGCAGTTTCTCAGGTTTCATATAAAGTTCTTTTTTATGTGATGCACTTATTAGTTAATTGATCTGGCATAATAACATTAAATATAATTTTAATCAGAAGTAGGGTATTAAGATCAAACTCTGTACGTCCTATGATATACCATAGACGCCATGGCATTTTAAAACCTTTTAAGGCATCTCATACTTCTTATTAAATGCAACACATTTAATTGAGTGACAATTAAAGATTGTGAATGATTCATTAGAGGAAAGACCCATTAGCTGAAAAAGAAAACAAGTTTTGAAATAAAGTTACACAAAAACATACATTATACACAGTTCTTTAAAGCTTCATCCCTGCAATAATGAATAACCAGCTGTTGGAAATGAAATACTTTTCTGCTTTTTTCCTTACAGCACATGTCCAATAGATCCAAAGAGCCACTAATGTGATTAAAATTAAGACAGCAAAGCAAAAGGGAACAACCATACATATACACTCCTAGAGCTATATGATGTATTTTTTATGTCTTTAAGTGGAATTTCCAGTTCTCTCTGGCAATGTGAATGAACATCCTATAATTTAGTCAATTTACAGATTACAGGTTCAAATTGACCTTGTAGCCCATCAAATTGCTCCTCTGCAGCACAGGATTAGAAGTGGGAAAAGAAAGTCATAACTGTATTTAAGGGTTTACCGTAACAATGGGAAGGGGGATGTGCAGGCGTGATTTTGGTCCCTCTTCTGCAGATCAGTTCTGAGTTCTGAAACAATGGATATCCTGCACATGCTTCCTGGTTCTCGGGAGGAGATGGTTTCAATTTACTCACCCACACACATGGCACTTGTATTCCCTCATCCCAAGGTGCCTTTTGACATGGTTCCTGGCATCGCCAAGCTGAGCGGTTGCGAAATGGCAGATCTTGCACTTGAATGGTTTTGATCCTAAGTAAATTTAACATAAAATATGATTTGAATTTGAATAATACAGTACTCATACTTTAAAAAGAGGATGAGATCTTAAATCATACTTTAATCTAATTACAAATTTCTGTCCCCCAAAGGGAGCACTTGCATTCCTTTCTAACTTGAAAAGACCTGCATCCCATAATTATTCCACCATGGAGACTCAAATGCTTCAGAGAGTGTTCCTAACTTTCAATATCATTTCCAAGATTTAAAGTCAAAAGTGATCCAGGTGAGCAGTACTAAGTTGATGAGATGAGCCAAATAATTTTAAATATTTTCCTTACAATTCACAAAAGTATCTTTTATAGTCACTCCACATTTAAAATGGGACATAGTAAAAACATAAATTCATACAATGAAGCTGATATTTTTAAGTATATTTATCATCAAATAAACTTCTTAGCAGCCACCTCCTCATTTCCTCATATCTCTGCATCTTTGAATTTATTCACAGTAATAATAGTATTTTAGATTTTTGAAATTTATTCCAATGAGTCTCTATATTACTATTTTAACAGCATACACTATTAAAATACACAGTGGATAAATTATTTGTTTTTATGGTCATTTTACAGTCAAATATCTGTGCTGACTCTGCAAACCAAAAGTATTGACATGTTGGTTATTATTAATTTCAAGAACATAGTACCAACAAATGTGTCTTTATTTCATAAAGAAATAAAATTAATCTTTACTCAATGAGAAAACAAAATTATTTCAGAGTCAACAAACTTGGTGCCAGTAACAGACCGCACCTGGAACGTGGTTACCAGTAGATAATCAGCACCCACGTGGAGGAGGAGCTACGCTTTTTAAGGTGCAACATGTATATACCATCTTCTGATTTTCTAACCACTAAATCTTCAAATAAATAAATCAAAATCACAAAACCGCAGCTTAAAGTCAGTACGATATGCGTCCAGATTTTGCAGATCATGTTGAGTCCCTATTTAGTGAAACACCTCCTCTAACATGGTCAGGCAGAATATGAAATATGTGAACTTGAATAAATATACAAAAAGGGCTCAAACAAAAAAACTGCAATAAATCAAAGTTGATCAATGAACCTTTGTTCAATGCCCTTGAAAAAAAATCCTCTAAGAATACTTTGTTGAAATTGAAGCACTCAGTAAAAAATTTTAGAGTCTTAAATTTCAATCTAATTCCCAAAAGCTGACAAAAAAAGTGAAGCATTTAATTTTAATCTTCTAACAGAAATAAAAAAGTCAACAGTACTAAGCACGGGCAGACAAGGTTGAATATTTCACAGGTCAATGACAATGAAGCCAGATCTCTCAATACTTCCATTTCTGCTGTTAGAAGTAGATGTAAAATATATTTAGCACCTGAATGGTTATATCTAGTCAGCTTTATGTGTAAATGTCAAAAGCAGGTTGAGACTGCAGCTTACAGCAATCACAGTCCATCAATCACATCAGAAATTACAGTTTATTTAAATGATTCTGATAAAACTAAGCCTATCACCACTTTGAAACACTTCATCCCCACAGAGAACTCTATAAGGGACTTACAACAGACAGGAGTGAGAAGAACCAATTTACCTGCACTTTGAATTAAAATGCATTCAAGGTAATAAGGTAATTAGGAAATTATTAATTAACAGTAACGCCAGGACTTCAAACAAAGACGGAAAAGCTTCCTCAACGTTCGTATTACAGCTGGGTGACAGGATCTGAAATACCTGTCTCCTGGGTTTCAGTTCCAGCCTGGCTCGCCCTGCGCCGACACTGGGATGAGTGCCCTGAGTGAGCACAGGGGCCACAGGGGCCGGATACACACCTTCAGTGCTTTCACGGACTGCACGTGGCTCTCTGGTGAGACACGAGCCGCTTCAGGTCTGTGATCACTGCTAGAGTGTTGACAGCACATGAGTGAGTTACTGTGTTGACGACTTTTGTGCAGAAATCACGAAGCCCTGTTTTCATACCTTACACCAGAGTAGACTTGTTAATGTCTCTTTTCTGTGCCATAAAATCCAAACATTAGGGGACCAGTACTATTTTTCTGAATAAGAAAAAAATATACTACCCTTTTTTCCTAATACTGTTTCCATTTTTGAGCTTGCTATGCAAGCATCATGCTCACAAGGCAAATTTTGTAAGACCATATATTTCTGAATTCGTCTTTCAGGTGTACTGTGACTATTATAAACTGTCGGTATATTGTTTTAAATAGTTCTATTTCTTGGAACAGCATTATCCTCAGCAGGCTTTTTCCTTCTCACTTGGCCTATGAGGTTTTTGAAAGGGAAAAACAAGAGGCTTTCTAGCTTTCAGGCACCTTGGAATATCGCCAACAAAATTCCACAAACCTTAAAAACTAAGCCTTCACTCAGACCCACAGGCACTGTTCAATATCAGTCATTACTGACTGTTATGCAAACGTGGATGTGACATAATGTTAAAAATTAATACAACTTTAGGTCTTAAAGAATCAAGTCAGATGTGTGCACCCACCATCTAACGCCTGTCAACTCCAGCCCGAATGCTCCAGTGCTCCGGGCACCTGACGCCTCACTTCCCTTCGCTCAGCTGCCCATCCACTCCCTCTGCTCCAGCAGTGCCGCCGAGAGCAGCGACGAGGCAGCGACCAGGGTGGCCCCATGCTCTCACTCTCTTACAGACCAGTTCTCCTGAACCATCTCCTCTCAAGCCGACTCGGCCTCTAAAACCCGTCACCATCAGTTACAGGCACCAGCAGCCCTGTCTGGGGAATTTTTCAGTCCCTGCATGTGAACATTTCCAAACAGCACAAGTGGCCAGTGCGCTCAAACATAAATCGGAACTGCAGACAGTCTTCTAGCTTAAAGGTACCTTCCCTGTTATGGGAAACGAGAGCTCTAACGGACGGACACAGGAGAGAAGAGGGCCGCGTTCTGTACACTCATGTCCTGGGAAAGGAGACCTGCTCTTTCTGCTCATGCCAGTGGCTTCAGACAGCAAACACCCTGGAAAACTGCGACGCTTTTTTCCTACAATTCTTGATGACCAAAACTCATTTATTTCTTATAGTGCTGCTTTCATCAGACTGAGGGTGGGAAGAAAAGGTTACATAAAACATATAGTAAATCACGAAGCATGGAAACAGGGATTGGAAGAGTAAGCCCTTTTCCAGTTAACCATTAATAATGTTCCCTGCATTACTATTTCATGGACATAAGCAACGGATCAGAAAAGCAATTCATTCTAAAAGGCGCCAAGAAAAAAACTTGGAGTGAAAACCTGGAGAGCAACTTCCCCCCAAAATGCCTTGCGAGACTGAGATGGAGACAGGCGCTGTGTCCTGGGGATCGTGCCCTTGGTGGTGCCTCAGAACACAACAGAAATTGCTTGCTGATAAGCCCAGCACAAACTGCGAAAAAGTACCCTAACTTTTACTAAATGTTACAATCAATGATGTAACTTATAGAAGTAGGGTTACTTTGTCACATATTGATAGTTGCCTCACTTTCACATCCACATTAACTTGATTTTAAATGCAATTAATACATATAGTCACAGAAGACTAATGGACTACATTCCGCACTTAACCTGGTGGACATTTTCAAATGGCACAAGTGACCAGTGCAAACCTATTTTGCATTGTAAACGACTAAATAAATCTTAATGGATTAAGAATGATCAGCTATCAACACACAAGGGAAATTAAGTGCTGAAATGCCCACATTGATTATTTTAAATTATTAGCCTTACTCTGTTCTTGAATTTGTATGCTTTTAGTGAGCTTTAACACATTTACAAGACTTATTGACTATAATTACAAGAGAATTCAAGTAATGGACACATCAATTATCAGCAACATGTCTTGACCAGACAGTTGCATAAAGAATTCTAAAAAGAGCTCCATTAGCATCTTCCTCTCAGTTTTATTCAGTTTTATCTGCCTTAAGAGGGCATATTAAGAAAGTACATATTTTCTGCACATGTGAACAAGCCCAATTTCTAAAAGGCATCATTTCAGAAAGTAAGGTCGGCACCTACAGAGGCATGAAAAACACCAACAAACCACACCGGGGCTCCGCTGCACTGGGAGAGCTGAGACCAACAGTACAATGCTGACTGTCACCTCATTCCATCTCATGCAGGTTTCCCTGCTACTTTCTCCAATGAAAAACTTTTATCTATCTTTAATCACCTTAAACTATTAATAACGTTTCATACTCTTTTGTCTTTCTCCTGTGACGATGCAAAAATTTTCAAAAACTGCATGAATTTAAAGTATAGCTTTAATAATAAGCCATTATTTTAAAGTACAGTAAAATAAACCTTACAGTTTTAATGAAAATATGTTCATTAAAATGTGAATTTATTATTCAAATCCACTCATAAATTCAACCATGGAGACAGAACTTGTCTAAGCAGAGCACAATGATTTAGAAAAGCTGTCTATTTAAAATAAAGAATGTATGGCAGGTTTATAGAAACAGTGCAGTGAATTTTTACATAAATTTAGAACAGTGGCTTATACATTTTTCAGCAAAAAAAAAAAAAGTTTTAAAACAATTTCTACCTAAAATTAACCATGAAGACTGAACACTGGATGTGACAGAGCAGAGACCTACCAGGTCCCCACAGAGTCCTGTGTCCCCATGGACACAAACCTCTGAACACACTGACTTTGAAAGTAGTTGACTATTTCTGATCCTTAAAAGAACTGTGTTGTGCTGCCTGGGAGTTACACTTTTGGATATAAACTACCAGGCAATAAAATTTTTAAATCCCTAAAATTGTATGAAAATTTTTATTATCTCCTCCCTCAAAAGCCATTTCCTATGTCCTCTGAAATGCTGCATGTCACTTAATGGATACCTTGAAAACCAAACAGTTAGGACCTGAAACATCTGAAAAGCTCTAAGAGACAGGAGTGTGACAAAAGCATCAGAGGGACCAGGCTTTTTAATAAAATTGAAAGGATATTGTGAAAGAGCCTGCCTTTGGGATCAACGAGGCCTCATGGCCTTCAGAGATGCTAAGTGTCAACAGTGACTGTGGCATCGGCATCTGCCTGGGCACCGCGCAGCAGAGCCATGTGAACTGGGCGAAGGCCAGCAGCCAGCGCAGCAGGGACTGCGCGCCAGGTGGCGGGGTGTCCACATTTACCACTTGTGGGCGCGCAGTGCACATACCTGTGTGCGTGCGGATGTGAGCCAGGAATGCCATGGAATTGCTGCTGCGACACAGCTTGCCGCAGTACTTGCAGACGTTGCCCTGGTTCTCCTCTCGCTCGCGGTTAATCTGCTCGGTGTCCTCCACTATGTGCTTGTTCACCTCCCGCAGCAGTTCCTCATGCTGCCCTTTAATGTGCAGAAACAAATTCTGCTCTGAGTCAAAGGGCTCCGTACACTTGACACACTTAAAGGTGGCCCCACCCTCCGGCAGCTCCTCCACGCTGGCCTGCTCATTCCTCAGGTGCCCGGCGCTGGCCAAGTGCTGGTGCAGGTTGCTCTCTGTGTAGAAGGACTTTCCACACAGCAGACAATGGAAGTGCTTCTCCTTTGTAGGGTGCTTCATGGCTATGTGGACGTTCAGTCCACTCAAGCCATCTGCTAAGAAGCCGCAGTCATCACAGCGGATGCGTGTGGACTCGCTAAAGGAGCTGCCTTCGGATTTCTTCTTTTTCAGGCCTTGAGCACAGTCTTTTGAGGGCGACTCACTCATTCTCACTTCCGTGGCCATCAGACCCTCTTCGGGTTGGTCTATCGATTCACCATCTTCCGGGTTCTTTATTCTGACAATGGAAGAATCAAACCGGCCAAAGCTGTACAGGGCCTGTCCTTTTTCATCAATGTTCATTATAGTTTCATAAACATCGTTACTTTCAATGGTGCTATCAGAAGCCAGCCCATCTTCTTCCAAAATAATTTCAGTTTCATGCTGGGAATCCATCAGAATTTCCTTATTTTCCAAAACAGGATCTTCTTGCATAGCTTTCAAATCAGCTGAACTCGATGTGTTTCCCACTTGGTCTTGACCACAGCTATCCAGGTGCAGCTGTCCTCCTGTCATTCTCATCACAACAGGGACGGTGCTCTCAGCTGAATGGGCTCCACCCAGAACTCTGGGGCATCCGTGTTTGCTGAGGACCTCATCTGCGTGGTCTCCTCCACTCCCTCCATCACTCTCAGGATGTGCATCTGGATCACCGATGTCACTCAACCTGCTGTGGTTGTTCTTTGCTGTCTCATAATTCAAGGCTGAGCTTCCTGAATTTCCATTCTGAAGTTTGCTTGGGGAGCCATTAGAGGAAATGTTAAGGGTCACCATCTCCTCAGGTGTCCTAACTTTGTCCTTGGCAGGAGGCTGTTGGAAAGTTTCACAAAAGGAAGGATCTTCACTGAGATTAGATTCTTCTTCAGTCTCCACCTCTATGGCATCAGGAACACAGAGTACTTTAGACATGTCTAAGTTCGTATTCTCATCTAAAACAGAACCACCAGCAGCGTTGCTAGGTTTAAGAGCTTCAGGTGATTGGTCTGACACTACCTGAAATTCTTCAGAACTTTGCTGATGCTGCGCCTCAGGTATGACGATGTTTCTGGACGATCCTGAGGGACCTGCCCCCACGTCAGCTGTGCTCAGGCGAGGCTGCCTCTTCATCTTGTGCTTTTCAGTGGCCGCGTGCCTGGTCATCTCTCGGTGAGTCACAGCATAGTAATCACAGGCCATGCAATAAAATGCAAACTCTTTCGTGTGTTTCCGTTTGACGTGCAGTCCTAGGGAGGCAGAAGAGTAAGCGCTAAACGCGCAGTGTGCACATCTGTTGTCACCTGTGCCCGGGGCACCTCTCTGCGAGCACGCCTCCCCCTGCTGCACCAGGTCTTCTGGCTCTAGAGATACTTGCTTCCTCTCATCCATAAGGTGACTGCTGGCTTCTCCATTGGTAGGATGAAGCACATTTTCAACTTCGACTTCAATTGGATCTCCATGCTCTTGTCCCAGCTTTTCTAAACTGGAGGGATCTGGTTCAGCTGACTTAATGGCATGTTCATCTGAACTGGTGCTCCTGCTGCAGGCTTCGAGGTTACCCCCTTCGGGGCCAACAACGATCTCTGAACTTCGTTTTCCATTAGCTTCTATTTCTACACGTCCCCTGTGTTTCTTGGTGGCACAGTGACGCTCCATATCTCCCTTAGTTACCGTGTAATACTTACACACCTTGCATAGGTAACTGTATTGGTGACTGTGTTTTCGTCTAATGTGCACGGTCAGGTTTGTAATACTAGAGGCCAAGAGGCCACAGTGTGAACACGTCCGTGAGACGCTGCCTTTGGGTCTCCCCCTCTTTGGTGTGGTGGTCAAAGCTAAGTCCTCATCTTTGGCGATGATTCCAGACTGTTCCTGCTCCTGGGCAGTGGGGCTCTTCCCCAGAGAGGGACCCTCCTGCAAGTGCGCACCTTCTCCGTCGCCTCCTGTCCTTTCCTTTCCAGAAATGGTAACCTCTTCTTTTCTGTCATTTGCACCTATACAGACCCTTTCAATGCATTCTTCAAAGCTTAAGCCAATATTGTTTTTCTTAGCATTTTCAAGATGTTTGCTCCTCTTAATGTGCTTCTCCATCCCCTCCTTGCTCAGTGAATACAGGTTGCATGCTTTACAGAGGAAGTGGTAGTCCTGGCCATGCCGGAGCTTTATGTGCCGTGTGAGGACAGAGCAGGACCGCGTTTTGTAAAAGCACTTTTTGCACTGAAACTGCGGCCTGCTCACGTGCCTTCCTTCGCTTCCAAGGCTCAGCCGGGGTGGAGCCACTTCTTCTGCAGCTGCTCCTCCTGACTCACTCAGGGGTTCCTTTATGTTTTCTGAGTCTAAAGTACTTAACGGTAAAGTCTGTAAATCCGAATCATTGTTAAATGATTGAGAAGTCTTTGGTTGAACCAATAAGCGAATATGCTTCTCAGTCATCCTGTGCTCCTCCACATCCTTCTCAGACAAGAAGAACAGATTACAGGGGGGACAAAGGAAGCCCATACCGTGCTTTTCCTTCACGTGGTCTCTGAGATTTGTTTCACTCAAGGAAGTAAACGAGCAGCACTGACAACTGAGCACAGAGGCCGTTTGCTGATGCTGGTGACTTTGCAAGTGCTCATGCAGGTCCCTCCTCGAGGCAATGGGAAGGTCCCAGGTCTGGCAGGACAACTTCACCTCTCCTGCATGGCAGCTGTTCACATGGACTTCCAACTCAGTCGTACTCGTGGCCACCTGGCCACAGTGTGTGCAAGTACAGGATATCTGACAGTCAGAAGCTGCCCTCGCTGTCGGAGGGTCTAAGGCGCTCGCGAGGTGGGTGTTTCTCTCGCTCTGCTTCTGGTCCTGGGTCTCTGAGGAAGTTACACATAGACCATGGGCACTGCCACCTGTTTCCATGTGTTTAGGCATGGACTCCACATCATCTGTTTTCATCTGTGCTCTGAAGTGTTTCATATATATCCTGGAAGTTTCACTAGCACCTCTTTTATTAATTCCTAAAAGCGTAAACCTTTTCTTGGCCTGGCCTTTCAGTGGGAAAGTGCCACTTCGTCGGCGGAAGCTATTAGCCAGCATGAGAACATTCCGCTCAGGTCTGGGTCTTGGGGTTGCGCTGAGACCCTGAGCTGTCTGTAGGGTCTTTCTGGAAGATTCCAATTTATCTAAGAGACCCTGTGAGGTTACTAAGGCTCCTAACTTTTTACTCTGGTTTTCAGGAGTTTGAGCTGCACCAAGGGAAGTGGCATTTTCTTCCACAACCTCTCCCTTTTCTAGCGCAGTACTCCTGAACGGCCTCATTTCAACAAGGAGCTCGCTGCCACTGCCACTCTGCTTAGAAATGCTGCTTCTCAAGTCTTTCAATTTGCTTCCACCATTTTTTAGTCCTTTAGAGTCACTATTCTTTGCTATTTGTTTAGAAACTCTCGGTTTTATGCGAACATTCTTTGTTCCAATGGTACATGGTTTCTTAGGAAAAGATTGTTTTGTTAAGATCTGCACAAATCCTCCACGAGCAGCGAGATTCTGCCGCCGGAGATGTGTTTTTCCAAGACAATGGGCATTCAAAAGGTTCTCTTCCACACACTGAAAGCCACAAAGGTCACAAGAAAAGACCGTCCGGCACCCGTGTGTCTGTGTGGTGTGAGTCTGCAGCACTGCGCTGCTCTCTGCTCCGTGGCTGCAGGGGCAGTGGGGAGGCTCTTTAGACGGTGGCACATGACACTGGGCCTGCTTCTCCAGATCCGACAAAGAGGAAAACGAATGCTCACGCATGCTGCACTTGGAAGCTGCATCCACATTCCCAACGGTACAACCAACACTAACAGCCTCTTCTGTGGAGAAAGAGGATTCTGTGTCTGGGTCAAGGGAGACCATTTCCTGAGCAGACTTCTCAGTGTCTGTTTTCAGAGACACAGTGTCAGCTGTGCTAGAACTGCAGCTCGGGGAGCAGGCGGTGGGAGGACGCGCGTCCCCATCTGCGCACTCACTCAGGAGGGACGTCTTCATCATCTCACCTGGCGGGATGCCCGCTGCCAAGAGCCCATGAACACCCTGCTCTCGGGACCGGCAGGGCTCGGGCTCCCCAGGCTTCATTCGTTTGGAAGCATGTTCACGTCCGTCCTCCACTGCAACGCTGGGTGATGGCTCTGGGAAAGCTCTTTTGCTCGTGGAATTCTCGGCAGAACTCGCTGCCACCTCAGGCACAGGCCCGCACCCCACATCCTGGGACGAAGCAGCCCTCGAGTGCTGTGCGTCTTTGTTTGCAGTTCCATCCTCGCTGTCTTCTGGTTTCTTCTCAGCATCCATCACTACAAGGTGCAGACACTGCTCCTGTCAGGGCGGCTCACCTGGCACCCATGACCTGCAGAGAAAACAAACATGCATTAAACCTCAGAATATAAAGAAAGACACACATATTAACTCAGAAGTTAACACAAAATGACGCACTGGATGAAAGATACCATAACAGAAACCTAGATGAGATCTCCTTCACATTGAAATGAATTTGATCACATGAGCCATAATGAAGAGTCTGACATCAGATTTAGGAACATCGGGTCACCACGCTGTAACGCAGGAAGCAACACTATGGTATCTTCCATAGAAAAGGGGACTCTCTCAACCAGCTTGCAAAGAAACTCCAAGTTTCAACTCCCTCTAACAGGACATTTCAATTTACTACTTTTTTTAATAAACAGAGAAGCCCTCTTTTCAAATTTTTTCAGTGAACCCCACTCTGTAAAGTAGACTAAAACAAGACGGCAGTGATGCAGGTCCGGAGGTCAGGCTTCCCCTCGCAGACCCCCAGTGGTAACCAAGTTCCAGGGTCAAAGAAATGTATCTAAACACGACTCTACTTGTCAATCAATTTCTTCATCTAACAGCCATTCTGTGTTGTCTGAGGTTAATGGCAAAGGGAAATGTCAGTGGTAGAGTAGAACTAATGAAGTAAATTTGGGGGGGGGGGAATTTATTGAATAAAATTATTTAAAATACATTATATCGATTTTATTTTTCATTATGCTGCTTAATTCAATTAAAACATATCATTTTCCATTCACTTTATACCATGATTGGAATTTTCAACCAAATGCCATTTGATCTGATGCTAATAAAAACCCATCACGCATTATGACCTCAAAGCTAATGATAACTGTTTTATTTTTTCCATAACAATGATAAACCAAATAAAGGCTGTTGCTTTGACTCTGCTAAAAGTAGGAAACAAAAAATATATATAAAATGTTATACCCAAAGCATAAGCAACAAAAGAAAAAGATGGATAAATGGGACTTCTTAAAAATAAAAACTTCAAATGACACTAGGATTCAAAGGCCACTATCTAAGAAAATGAAAAGATAACCAACAGAATGCAAAAGCTTTGCAAATCATGTATCTAATATAGTAGTTAATCTGTAATATATAGAGAACACTTATAACTCAATAATAGAGACTAACTTTAAAATAAGCAAAGGAGCTGAATATACTTTTCTCTAAAAAAGATGCACAAATGGCCAAAAAGCACATGAAAACATAATCTATATCAGCAGTTGCTAAAGAAATGCAAATGCAACCATAATGTCAGCACCACTTCACACCCACCAGGATGGCTAGAAGCAGAAAGTCCAATAACAACAAATGCTGGTAAGAATGTGGAGAGGTCACAACCTTCCTACCATGCTAGTGCGGATGTAAAATGGTGATGCCACTTTGGAAAACAGCCTGGCAGGTCCTCAAACAACTGAACATGGAGTTGCCATAGAGCCCATCAATTTCACTCATAGGCAAATGCCCAAGAGAAATGAAAACGTATGTCCACACAAAAACCTGCAGGCAAATGTTTACAGCAGTGCCATCCATTACAGCCAGGAAGTGGAAGCCACCCAAATGTTCACCAACAGATTAACGGGGAAGCTAAATGTGGTAGGTCTGTATGATGGAACACTATTCAGCCACAAAAAGAAATGAAGTACTGATGCAGGCCACAATATGGATGAGCCTTGAAATCATTATGCTAAGTAAAAGAAGCCAGTTACCAAAGATCGCACACTATCTGACGCTTCCTACAGGAAATGTCCAGAACAGGAAGTGTACAGAGAGAGCGAGCAGACTACGGGCTCCCTGCGGGGGGAGGCAGGGACAGGTAAACGGTACAGTGTTTCTTTTCTGAGATGGTGAAAATGTTCTAAAATTCACTGTGGTGACAGGTGCACGTGTCTGTGAATATATTTAAATTCACTAAATTGTAGTTTAAATGAGTGGATTTTATGATATGTGATGATCTCAATAAAGCTACTTAAAAACATATTAATTATTATATACAACCTACAATACAAAGTCATCTTGTATTTGTTACTGTATTATATAAAATACTATAACACACTGTATGGTTCTTATTATAGGGTGGAAAAGATAAATGTGCATCACTTCATTACACTTGTAAGATATTCACTATTTCTTCAGACTATGTTCCAGAAAATATAAATTATATCCCTGGTCAAATAAGTTTAGAAAACTCTGGTGTGAACAAAATTCCTTTATCACAGGATTTCTCAGTACATAAGCATTTCCCAGACTAATTCCGTTATAGACTCTCTCTCTAGAGAACAGAGCCTGGGGGTCCAAGGAACACTTCAGAAAATACTCTGTTAGGTAACACGGTGGTTTTATTATTCACCGTCTGTGATGGGAAAGTACGCCAGGAAAAGGAGGATGGACATAACCACGTGTCTGTTCCAAACACTTCCCGTAGCGCCCACTATATGCCAAGCATCCTTGGTTTCAGACACTGGGATTACAGCAAAGGACAGCACAAAATCTCTGCCCTACAGTGGAAGGTGAGACAGTATGTTTGTTTAAATGCATATATTCTCCAACCAGGACATGCCCTTATGGTCAAAAAGAGTCCCAGGGACTGAATGTGCTCTCATACATGAAACACCTTAAAAAGAAAAAACAGACAAAGTCTATGAAACAACAAGACATGGGACATCAGGCACCAAAGGGCAGTGACCCCTGAGAGGTGAGGCCTGAACCAAGGGAGTTCCAGCTTACTGCCTAGAGCAAGGACCCAGGCCACAGCACGGAGAGGAGCCCAGGCAGGGCCCAGGGGCAGCCAGAGTCAGTAGGGCAGAGTAGGAGAGAAGAGGTGCCAGAAAGAGAAGCCCAGAGGCCTGCAGAGCGTCCCTCGAGACAGAGAACACTGGCATCTTCCCCAAAAGCTGTCTCATGCCACCTCACACTCAGTCCTTGGTAACTCCCCTCCTGAGGCAACCACTGTTCTGGATTCTTCCACAGTAGATTAGCTTTGCTGTTCAGAAGTTCATGTAAATGCATTCAGGCAACATGCCTTTGAGGGAGGAGAGTCTGGCTTCTTCTGCACAGCATGACGTTTTTGTCGCACGTATCAGCAACGTGAGTTCATGGATATACCACGATTCTGTTGATGGCCATCTGAGCTGATTCCCTTTTTTTGGATTTCCCTTAAGGCAAAGCTGCTATGAATATTCCTGCACAAGTCTTTTTATGAACATATTTTTATCTCTTTTGTGTAAATAGGTAGGGTGGTACTGTGGGGTCACAGGGGGAGGGGCAGGGTTAACTCTATAGGGCAGTGTTTGATAATTTGCAAAGTGGCTACACTGTTTTACATAGCCACCAGCAATGTCAGGAATTCTGAGAGACCCACGTCCCCACCCACACTTGATACTGCCAATCTTTTAAGTTTTAGTCATTCTAGTGGATGTGTGTAGCTTTCCAGTATTTCCCGGATGACCAGGGTGCCGAACACTTTGTGTTGTGCTTTGTGAAACGCTTGTTAGCCTTCTGCCCATTTCTTAGTTTGGTTGGTTGGTTAGTACTGAGCTGGGGAGTTGCTTATGTCTTCTGGATATAAATCCTCTGTCAGATATGTTTTACAAATATTTTCTCCCTTTTCATTTTATTATTGTTGTCTTTTATTAAGCAGTTTTAAACTTTGATGAAGTCAGTTGTTCTTGGGCCCTGGTGGTTGATGTGTCTACTCTATTTCCGCTATCCGCCCTCACATCCCAAGAGCCCAGAACAATTCCAAGCACACATACGGCGCGAGAATGAGTGATATAAGAAATGTCTGCTCTCTAAGCCTTTAGATGCCATGACAGATGTCTAAGATACGCTTCAAAGTGGCCCAGAGGAGGGCACCGTGGAGGCCGTGAGCTGACAGTGACGGAAGCTGAGTGACAGTGACAGGGATTCAATACACTCTTCCACCGGCTCTGTAAAGTCTGCATATGCGTATGTCTGAAAATGTCCATGACAGAAGTTTTGCTTAATATTTTTTAATGCCTGGTCTAAAGTAATGTGAACCCCTCCCTTCCAGTGACCATCCTTACTCGCCCCCTGCAGTGGCACACTACCTATGCACCCCCTCCCCGGGGTCACTGCGGGAGTTTCATCGTGTGCAATAACACAGACGGAACACAGAAACACTAACTTAGGGAACCATGTGGCCTATTCAGAGTAAATGCTCTAGTGACGACGCCTGACTCGTGGATTTCTGGAGACAGAGAGTGACAAGCACATGAATACGCGGGCGCAGAACAGTGACGCCCTTCACTGTCACCTGTATAATGGCCCCAAAAACTCCAAACCAGGAGGGACTGCTCCTACCCTTGTTATTTCCCAAATAATTCTCTACATTACAGAAATAATTCGACATGTCACACCAAGGAAGAATATTCAACCTCACACAGCGGGTGCTGGCCCTATGAAGGGAACCACGGTGCAACAAACACTTCTTCCCCCCTCACCAGCTCATGTTGTTAGGAGCCACAAGCAAAGGAACTCACATACACATGGATGTGATGACCGTGTGTCAGATAAACTAAGATCTGCGTAGAGACGAGCAAGGGATTCCACTTCCAAGGAGAATACCTAGCTAAAGAAGCAGTGATATCACTTGAGCTAAACCTTGAAGAAAAAACAAACACCATTTTTCCTTCACTGAGGGAGCAGGTGGGAACAGTGAAACATCTCCAGTGGAAGAAAGGGCTCAGGCAAAGCCATGAAACACGCCCGATGTGCACGTGAGACTGTCGGCCGTCCAGACGGCTAACTACAGCTCTGCCATTCTTCTGCCTGCAGCTCAACCAAAAGCAGGTGGTCACCCAGGACCATGTCACACAGGCTGAATTAGAGCTGGAATTTATGCAGTCATGTCAGTGAGGGGTCGCCAAAACCCGGCTCGGCTTTAGGAAGATAACTTCTCAGTGCGCAGGACCCACCCCAGGGGGAGAAGTCTGGAAGCAGAAAGTGCATGTTCCCACAGTTTTAGGTAGAAGGCCCAGGACTGGATGACGTCAGTACGCAGGAGTGCAAGGTGATTTATTAAGTATCTTAAAGTGATCTTAAAGTGATCTGGAGAGATTAAATGGAAAGGAGATGTTCACGCTAATGTAAATTAAAGAGAAAGCCTTCCTCAGAAAGGGTGTTAGAACAACTACCAATGGAGATGGGAGAGGAGTCTGTTAAAATGGAAATCAAAATTCACCCGACTGGAACCGTTTAGGGGCTCATTTTTCTGGAGGCATGTTTCATTCATTCACTCAACACTCACT